CCCGCAACAACAACAACAACAACCACCACCACCACAACCACCTCCAACACCATTACCACCACCGCCATTCTGGGTCAGTGGGGTTGATTTTTAAGGCTTCCAGTGGGGCGCCTACCTTATTTGCCAGAGAGACAGCATCTTCGCAGTCCAGCACAAGGATGTCGGGTATGCTTTCAGGCAGAGTGGCTGGGGAGCTAGAGATTTTGAGCATTTTTGAGATCCTGCGTTCCTGATCTCCAGGCACGTAAAAGTAAGACCTAAAGAGGCGTTCCGCAGGGGCAGCCGTGGAGGCAAAACGAACTGTGGCTAACTCCACCGCCGCCGCCGTCGTCCAGACTTGTGGAAGCTTGAGAAGGGTGGCAAGCATACTACCGACAATCTGAGCAGGGGTGGGGGGAGGGAGGGAAGGAAGAAAGCATAAATATTTTATTTTTCTCTGATTGATGCGACAGGCAGGGCAGAGGGCAGAGTTAGCAGCGCAGTTAGCTTTGGGGTGCTGTTAATGGCGAAAATAGGGAGCAGCATCGGGGTTTCAACCGACACTCACTGCGTACGGATCGATTCGTGATACTGTGGACCCCGGGGCCGGTTACGCCGACGCTGGTAATGCGGGGGCACCGATAAAAGCCCAAAGAATGATACACCATAAATGCAATAACAGGATACTCGGACTACAGCACGGCCTAGTATTCGTGTAACATGCAGACATATGCGAAATCTTGATACTCTTTTGCTAAGCGGCAGTGAGTAATCTTATAATACTGATTATCGCGTGGTCTATTCTAAAGTCATTTCAGTCACCACAGAATGCCGGCTTTTTGAGGAGCTTCGTTCTGACCGCTAACAAAACGTATTTACCGTAAAAAGTGGCTACTTAAGTAGTATGCCTTTTTATCATTGATTTGCTTGCCTTTATAAATTCAGACATATTTTGTGGAAAACAAACGAAACAATATTTCTTGGACTCGTTTGGAAGCAAATTACGCCCTCCTTAAATGTTACACTTAAACGAGGGGTATCTTGAGTTTTTAAAATATGTTTCTAAATTGCCGAATAATTTTTAACCCTGCTGACTGCTACACTTGCATTCGAGGCTTAGAAACTGAAAGATACCCCCTCTTTAAGTACAAATTTAAAGAATGCGTAATTTCCTACCAAAAGAGTGCAAGAAATAGTATTTTCGTTGATGTTTTCCAAAAAATATATTTGAATTTATAAAGACAGTCAAGAGCAATGATGAAAATGCATACTATTTCAGTGACCACTTCTATAGTAAATATGTTTTGTTAGCAGTCCGAAAGAAGCTCGTTAAAAAGCTGACATCCTATCGTGACTGAAATGACTTCAGAATAGTCTGCAGGACAATCAGTATTACAACTTTATCCAATGCCGATTGAAGAAAAAGTATCAATCTTTCGAATATGTCGGCATGTTAGACGAATTCTAGGCCGTACTTTGATTTTTTAAAATGAAGGTGGAGTCGGACAGCGAGGCTTGTATATCGAACCATCGTCCTAGGAGCCATTTTCAGTCAGAAGATCTGGAATGCATCTAGACAATTGAGCAAGCAAATACCAAGGGTTTTTCCGACAACCCCAAATGAACTCCCCCCCCCACCTAATGCTACAACTTCCTTTGAGTAAACATCGCAGATGCAGAGAAACTTAATTGATTGAGATGTCTTAAATGGACTCGGGAACCAGAATAGGGTGTAATATATGTGCAGTTGCGCAAATTTTTCAGGGAAATAAGTGTTGCTGTGAGCAAAACCGAACAATGAGCTCACTTTTAATTGGTTAACCCGGAGGAGCGAAGACTACTTTATATTTCCTATCTCATTAAATTTCAACCGAAATTCTGGAATGCGATTTCACATCGAACAAATTACTTAAGCAATTTTGAACGGACTTCTCTCCGGCCACCCGAAAAAAAGCATAATCCGCAAAAATGGCTACTTAAATAGTATGCATTTTTTCAGTGATTTTCAATGCCTTTGTAAATTCTAATATATTTCTTAGAAAACAAGCACAAAATATTGTTTTTGCTAGCAAACAACGCGTTCGCCAAATGCTATACTTGAGGAAGGAGTCTCCATCAGTTTTAAACACCTTTCTCAAAATTTTGAAACCCACTGGTCATTACACTTATTCAAAGTCTCCTTACTACAAGCTGTCAAAAGAAAGTCACACATTTGTCTAGGTTATGCGGAAGAGGTCGCCCTTGCTGCGTGCCTAGCAGGCGTGGCGCAACGTCGGCTGCTGATCCCCGATCCCCATCTAGATACGAGTTCCCGGCAGGAGTAAAAACCTAGCTGAATGTGCCCAGTATTGTACCTATCCAACAGAAGCGTAACTGAGTCCGCTGCTTAGCGCAAAAAGCCAGAAAAATCTGCTCGGCAGACACTATTGAAATTGAGCTCCAGAAACTCCAGGACTTGCTTCGAGAGAACGAATATCCGGACAGATTAATCATAAAGAATACGCTGGAGAGATAAACAAAACTCACCACACCCACTGAGGAAAAGAAGACCCTATTTCTCAAAGTCCCCTTACAATTGAGTGCGGCAAGTGAGCTCCTAAGCAGACGCCTCAACCAAGCCGTATCAG